GAACTAACGCGTCAATGTCAGGATAGAATGAAGATCTTGAATTACTTATGTAGATCATCAAACATTCGCGCTATCAGAAAATCATCCGCACTCCGGTTGTCTTACTTTCATGAAATTCCTTTGCACATGAGACTTTTAAGTTCAACAGACTATGTACATACAGTGACTCAATGAAGTGTTCAGATGTTGATTTTTTTTTTTAATATTCACAATGCTTTTCAAGTAAGTTTTTTTTTGGTATTTTTTATAAAAAAAAACTGTTAGCAAAAAAATATTAAATATCAACCCGATCGGAAACTTGCACTTTATTATACTGTTAGAGTTTGAAACTTTGATTCATATGATTTTGGTTGAAACATGGACAATATTTTTATAGAAAAATATCACAAAAATTTTTAACTTGAACAACATTGGAAGTATTTAAAAACAATCAATATGAGAACATTTTCTTAAATAACTTCACATTGGTTTTTTGCTTAAAAATTACTTATTTTATTTCGATTCAAATCGTCCCAAAACTCGATATTTGGTATATAAACAAACACATCTACATATGTACGTATGTATGTACATACATACATATGTAAGACCCCTTAAGTAAACATCTTGAACTCATAATACCCTTCAATCCGACTCTTAAGAGTAAGGACGCAGTACCACTAACAATAAATAAAGTGTGTAAGGTCATGGCACGGCATGATCATCCCACACAGCAACAGCAAATGACTGAATTAATTTGAAATATTGGCAAAATCATAATGTACCTACATATGTAATTAATATTTTTATTTTTTTTTTTGAATTTGAATACGATGTGGAGTAGTTGAACTCTGTAAAGTCAATATCGCTTTTGAAACAGATGTAGGAGTATGTACGAGAGAAGTATACAATTGATCATAATACAAAAAAGAAGGTAGTTTCATTACTACTATTTTTTGATTATAAAGCAGATTTTTGACACTTCTCCAGATGTAAAAATTAAGCATAGATTTACCACATTGAGATTTTCTTTTAAATATTTGGGAGTAAAATTTACATACAAACAATAGTAAGTTGATGTGTTCGATAATCAAATTTGAATGTTTTTCTCAAGCGTTTAAAAGGTCCTTTGAATAATATCGTTGTGCAGAGATGAAGAAATAAAATAAAATCTAGTTTTGAAACATTTATTTATTAAAATCTGTTTTTTATTTTATTTTAAACAAAATAAATAAATTTACATAACAAAACTTTTTTTTTTGTTAAATAGTCCGAAGAAGATGTATTGTTAGGTATTTCGTCATTGAAGCATAGTCTGAAACCACGATTCGGAGAATGTTGAATGGTCTCATTGCCCTCACAATGAAAGGAGTCGCAATTAAGAATTCTCCGAAAATGAAGCATCTATAAGTAACTCTGGATACAAAACTTTCGTGGAAATCTAACGAGGAACACAAAATATTAACTACCTGACAATTAAGCATGTTGTGACATTTCGTGCTGCCACACATAGTCCTCAATAATCATTTATTTATTGTAAAAAAAAATATTTACAAATTTAAAAAGAAATTTCGATATGCGCAAAAACGAAAATTGAAATTCATGATATGATAAATATTATAGTTATGGACGATAGGAGGTACTCCCGATTGAACTGACACTCAGAGTCTGGAAGTAAGTAGGGTGTTAATTGCAGCTTGGCCGTCAAGTAAACTCCTTCCGCTCCACCTATTTTCCACCACGTAGTCCATATCCGTGAGGATTGCAAATACCTCAGCCTCGAAATCCGAAGCATACTTGCCAAGAGAAAAGTTAATGACGGTAAGTGCAGCACTACATCAAGAGCAACGCCACGTATTGTAGAGAAATCTTTCGTACCGCACACGGCAGTAGTTCTTTGAATTTTTCCAGCAGACCTCCCACGGTCTTGATTAAGAATCTTCTCCACCCTATCACTGACGCATATCTAATTATGGGTCTGATTATAGAGGTATAAATCCAAAAACCAGTTTACATTGCCAAAATGCTGCCCATTCTTCAGAGGTGGCGCCCGAAAAGGGACAATGAAACTACCTTCTTTTTTGTATCATGCAATTGATTGTTTTTCTAAATTCCACATTTCTTGCGCATTTTATCATTAAAAAACTGACTTACAATTGGAAACAAAATCTTGAGATTCTTGTTCAGTAGAAATGTGTTCGCTCTACCAAACGAAGTATACGATTTTTTCTCACGTACAAAACGATCTGCACTAATCTACGATCATACATTCATTTGTACAAACATATGTATGTACATGCTACGTAACTACATTCACCTATATACAGCACAAAATAGTAAGTAGTCGGTATGACGTTATAAAGAAATATCCCTTTCACAAAAATTCGTACGCTTACTGCTGGCTATTAACACAAAAGCATGGAGTTTAAAGTTAAAGCTGGCTGCTGGAACTGGTGTGGAGAGTGAATGTGGATGGGGATGTGAATGTGAATGTGAATGTGGATATGGATGTGTTGTTGTGATATGCGCCAACAAGATGCAGAATTCACCTTTTCCGTGCCATTTCAAGCACATACATACATATACAGTTGCATAAATGTACTTATGTACATATGTATATGCATGTATCTATAAAATACAGCCTGTTGGTAGAGCATGATCAAGTATAACGAAATATTTACTATGTTGCTTTGTTATTTTGTGTTTCAAGAAAAAGCTAAACTCGAAATAAAAGTTAACTAAGTGTAGATCTGTATGTATGTATATACATATGTAATTATATAAATACATCATATATAGATATATGTACGTTCAAGACTACAATACATTTTTTATTATATGTATAAACATACACACTTACTAATGAGCAAATGAAGGCTGCAAAAAACGTGTCTTGGAGTTTTAATAAACAAAAGGGGAAATGAAAATCGTAGTAATTCTTCAATATATACATATGTATGTATGTGTATATGTATGTACATACATATTTCTCCTTGTACACTACATACAAACATTCAGACACACTCCCATACATATGTACATGTACTATACATACATACTAAATACACTCCCTTTCACAAAAAGCTCCAGCAGCGCGCGCGCCAGTTGCTTGCTGTTCGCTTGCTACCGCCGCTGCCGCCTATCCGCCTATCCGCCTGTCTGCTTGTCTGCCTATCTGCCAGTCTGCCACTTTATGAAACTTTTTAAAGCTTCTTACTGACCTAAAAAATTATAGTGTGCGTGAGAGATAATGACAATGTGTTGGAGTGAAAACGCTGCAAGCCAAACACAACTAACTAGCAAGCGGCGGCAGTAGTTTTATTTTTTTTTATTTTTTTTTTTGTATTTCAACTCGTCTGTTGTCCGTTGCGCGAACGACCAACCAGCCAAGCAACTAAGCCACCAAGCGATCAACCGACCACCACTTCAATGACTTTTTCCGCCCGAAATTCAACATTTTTCCACACAAACGCGATCACTTTCGAGTTTAAAGTTTTTGAGTTTTTTTTTGGTGTTTTTTTTTTGCTTTGTTGGTACCAAATGTTAGCGCAGAGCAAAAGCGAAGCAAAGTTGCGAGATTGCATTATGTAGTTGCAAAAACAAACACGTATGTACATTAGGGTGCCTCAAAAAAAATACTTGCGGGTTTTCCACCGGGATTATACAATTTATGATATTTTAAATATGTATTTCGGATTAAGATGTATGGAGATGATTTCGATCCCATTGATACAAATTTAAAACATTTTTGTGCATTTTTAAGCTTTAACTCTTCTATCATCTGAGGTGATTTTTTAGAAAAAAAATTTAAAAACTTATTTTATTTTTAAAATAACTGGATTTTTGTAGGTATTTTCAAATAGGACCAGTTCACGTGCATCTTAATATTTTTTGCGAAATATTTTGGCCGAAGACTTTAAATAAAATAAATTTTATAATTCCGATGTGCAAACAACGCCGATTTTTTGTATGACGACTGATGCACCCTAATGTAGTAATTGTAGTGGTATAAATGTTTTCTGTTTTCAAATCTACTAGCAGCGCATTGTTTAATCTCTTCAAAAAAATAAAAAACACATAACAAAACCAGAAGCCTTCAAGCTCTTGCATATCAGTGAGTTTATGTATGCATCTACATATGTATGTTCGTAGGTATGCTTATATACATATAATATAAGTAACTCTATGTATACATATATGTATATTTAAATGAAATCCATTCACCACACTTAATAAAACTCCTTCACACATAGTTCATATATATGTACATATGTACGTACATGCATAGCTAGAGCAGCAATGCTGAGCACAGAGCGCAGTGAAAACGGTTTTAACTTTTCGTTTTTAGTTTAACTATTTTTATTTTATTTTTGTTTTTGTATTATTTCTTCACTGCTTCTTCTTCTTTTTCTTCACTCACTACACAATTTCTTGTGCATAGTTGACTAACAACAGCAACTGCAATAAGCTGGCATACAAAATTACCTACATACATATGTATATTAGTGTACGATCTTTGGTTACTTATTGATTGCTGGCCACAGAGCTGGAGCTAGACATACATAAGTATGTACATACATACATATGTATGTAGCTGGTCTATGGCTTTGGCTATATCGTCGCTATGATATCGACAACGACTTTAAAAATGTGTAAATTGCTGGAAATATGCTTGGCTTGAAGGTCACAAACAAGCCTTTCTAATACATTAATGGCCCATTGTGCAGCGCAATTTCTAGATGTCTTTGACTCGATCATAAAAATGACGAGAGTACGAGTATCTTCGCAAGAGTCTTTCATGTTTTATTTACTACTTCGCATTGCTGTTTTCAATGATGATTTTCCCCTTTGTTTTGCATAATGTTGTACTAATGTGCGCGCTTGTGCACATTTAAATTTTTACAAAGGTACATACATATGTACATACATAGATGCAAGTTAGTAAAATGTGTTTATGTATGTATGTATGTGGTGTAGAGGAAAAGTTAAAAATTGTCGTATAAATACATTTTTTTTTTTACCTGTCGCATGAAGTCGCAATTGAAACGCTTTAATCCAAAACAGTGGTAAAAATGTTTAACTTAACAAAAACAAATATTTAGGTATGTGCACATATATGTATACATATATACACTTACATACATATGTATAAATTTATGTATGTATGTATGTATAAAGGATTATGTTTTTTTTTTACTTTTATTTTACTAATATATGCATATCAGTACACATATTACTATTTAGTGCACACTTAACACAGTTCCATAAATTTTCAATGAGCACACTCTGTATGTAATGTATCATATGTATGTAAGTATGTACATTTGCTGCTTTTGTATCTCGTATTCACTTCAAATGCACTTTCTTTCGTTTCAGGAAACTTTTTATGTTTTTTTCTTCTATTTTTATTTTTTTGTTGTATATTCGAATTGGATTCTTAGCAGCTTGTGCAGAAAAAAGTTTGTTTACTTTGTTTGCGCAATGTTCATGTATGTACGTGATATTTCTTTTAATTTTTTTGTATAAATTTTTACTGTAGCTTTTCTTGTTTTCCTATCAAATATTGTTGCAATCGGTTATTACGAAATAATAAAAAATTTAACTTAAATAAATCCGACAGCAGAGTGAATCTCTCAGATGTGCTTTACTAACTATCATTTCACGTACTGAGTACACATTTTGAACATATTACTAAATGTGCTCGATAGGCACTAACTTATACAAGTTTATTATACAAAACCGTCGTCGTCGTTGTCGAAGTCGTCGTAGTCGTAGTGGTCGCTGGTTCCATCGCAGTCCACCGTCCCTTTCACTTGCTTGCAATTTCCATACAGATAGTCTTAATGTATCTCTTTCCTACCATTCTTCAACGATCGCGCTCCCATACTACAACAATGCTATGTGATCGAGAATTTCAACATATTTGTTGTGCTTTTACATTTTCTAAGTAGTAAAAGCTTTTGCCCTAGCTATACCAAGACCAACCGTACCGTATACTCTGCTTTGTTGCGGTGTTTTTTCTTCTCTTTGTTGGCGTTGGCCTCGATGACGGCGATCGGTGGCAGCCAAACAACCAAACAACCAGCCAGCCATCGAGCCACAGCCAGCCATTTCAGTAGGCATACAACATTGAACGCCACGCAGAGCTTAATTACAATAGCTTTCCATATTCTCCCCACAGTAGCGAGTAGTTGCTTGCGTGGGTATTTTTCTGTGTCGCGGTTTGCAGCTTTCGGAAGTTGGTGAAACTTTCTGCGCATAGTTTGGCATTGATGGTATATACGAGTGGTGTTAAGCCACTTGCACACAGCCCCAACCCTGCCAGTGTTGCTGGTTTGCTGCCGATTCTGAACTTTTCAAATCCAACAGAGATAGAAATTGTACCACTTCGGCAGTTCAATGAGTTAAAGTGTACCTATGTCAGCAAATGCATCTGCTCACCTTGATACCACAAGCTTGGCAAACCACTGGGGGACCCCTGTGTATGATTGATGCTTTAGGTAAGTTACGCTCCATATCATCTGTGATCGTTTATGGGACCATTTCGATACGGTTTGTCTGATGCACAGCATGATTTTCGGAAAGGTAGGTCAACAGTCACAATACGCAGAGTCACTGATGTAGCCGAAGAATGAAAAAAATGGTAAAAGATGGAAAAATGGCGGGGTAGTAAGCCTAAACGTTAAGAACGCCTAGTTGCTAGCGAAATCCAGCGGGCCGATTAGCCCTCCCGACCTAAGGCAGAGCCCTCTTTAAGCACGAGATCGCGGCCGAATGGCAAAAAGCCTCACCCAGTGGCAACAACGGTGGGACGCGTCTTCGTCGGGTCCTTGGACTTTCAGCCCCATTTCGAGTAACGAAGCCTGGCTGGACAGATATTTCAGAAAAGTTATGATTCCTGAGCTTAGGGTAAGAGAACTGTGCCGCCGGGAGGAAATAGGCTATATATAATTAGAAAAAAATAAAATACATAATTCTAAAAAAAAGAAGCGCCAATCTATTATTATTATTATAAATTTTTTTTAATTTTTGTTTCACTATTTTTTTTTTACTCCACAGGAAAGCTTTCCGTGAACCACAGTCGGCAAGAGCCTGCTGAACTTCGTATCACAAATTGTATGGGGAATATGGGTATGACGTTACGGAGTGAGGCATACTGTATGCTACGGCAGATCCCCAATCAAATGAGAAAGTGGTCCCGGAGAGGTGGATTCTTCGGAGTTTCATACGGGCCACTTGTTGGATTGTGCGCTATCCCAAAGTCTGTAATAAAATTATAGTTTAAAAAACTAAAACCTCGTTGTTATAATTTCCATTCGTACTGTCATCAGGTATGTAACTTGAGAACAGAAATCGCTCATCATCAATATTACATAGTTACATCCCGAGCTAATAAAAGGGAGGTAAAAACCTCGATACCGTATTTACAGTTATATTATCAGACAGCCAAGCAGGTCCCTATTGAATAAGATAAGAAACTCGTCTACCAAATAAGTGGTTAAGGCTGGGTACTTATCGTAGGGTTACACCCAATCTTTTAACTAACTACCTGACTAATATAATTGGTAAGATTTTGGTTACATCTGGCTTGTCCTGTTAATAATGGACGTGTGTTAAGCTGGACGCGTTTGTACGCCAAAAAACTGCTAAACTCGTAAAGTTTTTTTGTTCTTCACACACATACATATGTATGTACATTATTAGGGTGGTCCAAAAATGCATGTGGGAAAATGGAAAGTCGGAATTTTTACGCTCTCAGCCCCTAGAGTTGTTCTATACCGAAAAAAAGTATACCCTTATTATTTTATTTTGAAATCAAAAAATATTTAGAGGTCGCTCAAAGCGCCCAAAGTTTTCCATGTATTTTATATGGGGAAAAAACAACTTTTTGTAGAAATGGTATAGAATAGTTTAAAATCAATATTTTTCTACCAGAAAACTCTGTTTATCTGCAGGAGACTCCCAGTAATAATACCCAATTGTTTATTTAACCATTTTTTCATCGCAACTATAAATTATAGGTCCGCCAAAAACCCACAAAAACCCCGAAATATGCAATGGGGCGACCAATAAAAAATCGTTGGTATTAAAAAGCGGTTAAATAAACCATTGGGTATTATTACTGAAAGTCTCGTGAATAGAACCAAAGTTTTCCGAATGAAAAATATTGATTTTCATGAATTCTATACCATTTCTACGAAAAATTTTCTTTTTCCCATATAAAAATACATGGAAAACTTTGAGCGCTTTGAGCGACCTCTAAATATTTTTTGATTTCAAAATAAAAAATAGGGGTATCCTTTTTTTGGATATAGAACAATCCTAAGGGGTGAGAGCATTACAATTTCGACTTTACTGTTTTTGGACCATCCTAATGTAAAGGGTGAACACACCAAAACTGCGACACTTTGGGAAGCTTATAACTTACCCAAAACGAATTCAATATTTTGAAATTCAAATGCCATAAGCTGACCACATGACCTTAGTTGGACGTAGAAAAAATTTTATTTGAATTTGATTCCTAGTTGAGTTAAAAATGGCAACTGAGTTAGAAACGAGACAAACCATTTTGCACGAGTTTATAAATGATCCGGCCTTAAGTACACGTAAAATTGCTAAAAAATTAAAGATTGCACTATTCGACAGTTTTCAGGGTTTTAATCGGTACAAATAAGGCCTGGCAGTTACGAGAAAACCAGGGAGCGGGGGTTAGCATGGTCGAAGTGATAAAAGCAATGCTCGGAAGGTCCTCAGTGCGTTAGCTAAATTGGGTCATTCCTTGTAGGTAAATGAAGAAATGGAGGCGACAAACTTGACAATATATCAAGACGTTTTATGTTCTCAATGAAAATGGCGCCTCAATATATGGCAACATTATGTTAGTGTTCCCCTGCGCCTTGTAAGGACATTGCATTTCCCGTAAGAGAAAAGGCAAAAAAGTGGCAACTTGAAAATTCATGATTGTTTACAAATTATTTTATTAATCGTAATAAATACGACATCATGAATTAAAAAATTTGTTTATCAGCCGGTATTAAATACCAGCAACTTAAATGGAAAATGATATTTTTATTTTCTGTCAATTTCCATATAACATTCAAAAAATTAAAAGCATTTTTTCCTTAAATTTCTTTCGTGAAATTGGCTGTATGAAGAATAGTTAGTACAAAATATGAATCAAAATCTGCTGGGCAACGTTAACAAGGGCAAAAAATTGTGCACTTTTGTCGGTCCAGAGGGCAACAAGTTGTGAAAAGAACAAACAAACAAACAAATAAGTTGTCAATTTTCAGGGATGAAAATTTCAAAGAAAATTCTGTTTTCAAAGTCAAAGCCAAAAGTTTCGTATTGCTTTTTTTCGAATGCGAAAGCGAATACGAAAGCGAATATCCGCAACATCAGAGATGTATACTCCCATGAATACATTTATATGTATACTTATGTACATTAGACTGCATCACTCCCCATACAAAAAAAAAATCGCTACTATTTTTCCATTGGAATTATAAAATCTATTATATTTTAAGACGTCCACCAAAATCTTTCGGAAAAATATTAAGATTTAAGTGAGCTGGACCGATTTGAAAATACCTCCAAAAATGGAGTTTTTTATGAATAAAAATAATTTCTTAAAGATTTTTTTTGAAAAAAACTCCTCAAATGACAAAACGGCTTAAGCTTAAAAAATTTGCAGAAAAATATTTAAAAAAAATTAAAAAATATGTTTAACGGAATCGTAATTATGAGATTTTTGATGCTGTTTTTTAACTTTTTTTAAAGATTGGTATAACAAAAACTTGAATAACTGAGCCTAAACTCTTCTGATTTAGACTTAGGAGGTGTCATTAGAAAGGTATTTTCTCTACCTTTTTATTTCTTTGCTAATAAGCTCATTCAAAGGATGAAAGAGAAGGGTAGGATGAAGGAACGTCATTCAAAGTTGAATTAAGATGTGTTGGTATTTGAAAAAAAAAAATATTGGGACACGAATGACTTTTTTTTGGACAGAAATAAAAACAGTGTGGAAATACCTTTCAACTGAGATCCCTAAGTCTAAATCAGAATAGTTTTGGCCCAGTTATTCAAGTTTTTCGTAAATTAATCTTTGAAAAAAGTAAAAAAACAGCATCAAAAATCTCATTCTTACGATTCCGTTTAAAAGATTTTTAAATATTTTTATGCAGATTTTTTAAGCTTAATCTGTTTTGTCATCTGAGGGGACTTTTTTCAAAAAGTTCTTTAAGAAACTATTTTTATTCATAAAAAACTACATTTTTGGAAGTATTTTCAAATCGGTCCAGCTCACTTAAATCTTAATATTTTTCCGAAATATTTTGGTGGACGTCTTAAAATATAATCAATTTTGTAATCCTGGCGGAAAAACCGCAACTTTTTTTGGTGATGCAGTCTAATGTACATGCATACGTACGCTCACTTCACTATATCTGCGCACACTATTGTTTTTTTTTAAATTCACAATGTTTTGCAAGCTATAATTTTTTATTTTTTTTTTAAATATGGTTATATACAAAAATATGGCTATACACATAACCATATACATAAATCGAAACTAAGGACAATTTAACAAATTTCCAGGAAAATTTAAAACTTTTTAATCAGATTAATCAAATTTTGATGAAAATGCATTAAATTTTCATTAGTTTTGTATACAGTTGGAAACTTTGATTTGTATGGTTTTGTGCATAGCATAAACCATATTTTTGTAAAAAATTATAGCTGGCAAAACATTGTGAATATTATAAAAATACAGAGTGTACGCAAATATAGTGGAGTGAGTGTACAAGTATATACAGCCCGGTTCACTTGAATAGGTACAAATTTCATCCTCAGATCTGAGCTTCTATCTGGATTTGTGGGCATCGAAGAAGTATCTTTTCAATCTGATTTTGAAGAATGATCAAATTCAAAGAAAAGTGGTGAAAATGGAGAAAACACCTCTATTACTTTCGATGTTATATGTACCACGTTTTATCAAACTACGTGGCTCTAACACAAGGAAGGGACTAGATTGAACCAACAAAAGCATACCATTCATTTCAATTCCACTTTATAACACTTTTAGTATTGGATAGTACACCCTTAATTCTAATGTATGGAAAAACCTACTATCCGGAAGACAATTCTAGAGGTGCTTTGAAAAATGAAGGACATCTCACTGCTAACCACTTCAATCGTCGGAAAGTTGTTCTTTCAATCATCACATAGATTCCTACAAAAAAGCTCATTAGCGCTTAATCGCTAACTTCAATACTGCTTGAGATATTTCAATTTTAAGTTTATGAAGTTTTAAATTTTTTTTTAACTAATTACATTATTAATTTAAATAATAAAAGAACAATATTTTTTATAATTTTACGTGATTTTTGATAAAAATATAATAAATAAAATTTCCTACAAGTTTCTCATTTACATTTTTTCTATAGCTCTTGT